TGGATATGTTAGAACAAACATTAAGAGTACTATAATATGATGGAACATTAGTGCATAAAAACAAAGTAGATGTAAAAGGAATAAACTATTATGTAAAATTAGAGAATAAACATATATCATAATAAACATAGCCCCAAGTTTCCAATGTACTAACATAGTAGTTTTAAATAGCATAGCAAACAATTAACATTAATATAATAAAATGTATGCTATATGCACCTACTACCCTTGTCTTCCATGCCTGCTAACCTTGTGACCAGGTTCTTTGTAAACGGAGCAAAGATTCCTGCCACGGGTCTCGTTGAAGCCTCCCCCTTCGTATATGTCTTCGCCGTACCCTCTCATAGCGTCCATGTCCCCCTTGAGTCGCTTCTTCTTCCTCCTACCCTTGCCTACCTTCATTAGATCCGGATGCGGCACGTAGTCATAACCATAATAAGGTGGCCACTGTGTCGTGTCAAGGTATGGCTCGAAGCTCCTCTCCCAAATACTAACGGTGTTCGAACAGAGATACAAGGGTGACATATATGGCAGATCCTCATAGTTATACCCGCGAACCCTGCAGGCCGTGATCATATAGAGCAAGGGGCATGCATGATCTGAGGGACGTTGCAACTACACTCTACTTTTTCAAGATCAACTCGGTAGTTTTGTCCACCATAACATTCACCGCCCAAGCTTGTGCCACCCTTGCCCCGTACACTAAAGATATGGCGGCGGGGTCCATACAGCTCAGCGGTGTGCTGCTTGGCCAATTCCTCGTTCTCCTTCAAATGTTCTGCTCCAGCCTTTCTAAAACACCCCTGCTCAGCTATATTCCTCTACGCAAGTTTCCACCTCTTGACAAAATGTTCGTTGCACTTATGAAAGGAGAAATCAACAATTCCAGATGCAGGCAACGATCAAACTCCGGTGAATACATGGTTGAAAGACTCTGAGGAGTTAGTGGTCATGATGCGATACCTGAAACCCCCTCATCATATGCTAACGCCCACTGAGCCTTCTGTTCCATCTACGCCTCTAACCAGGCCTTTCCCGCTTTATTTAGCATCTTGTCTAGTTCTCTCTGTCTCCTTGAACTGGTGCTCTGTACGTACACAACATAGAGTCTTTACCTTGTCACATACCTCCTTCTTCCTCTGACGCCGCCAGAAATTAGTGGCAAAGTGTCTCATGCATCATCTGTGCACTAGAGGCGGGAACCCATCTATATGCTCAGCTGCAGCATTAAGAAGCCCTAGGTGGCGGTCCGAGATCAAACATATAGTGCGAGATGGGAGCACTTATACACATAGAAGCCGCATGAACCATGACCATGATTCATTGTTCTCTCCCTCTGCCAAAGCAAAAGCCATGGGTGCTATCTGGTCCTTAGGATCAACAGCAGCAGCCATCATCAAGGTGCCCCTATACTTTCCTGTCAGAAAAGTGCCATCAACAAGCACGACTAGCCCACAAAACTAGAATGCATGTTCTGTTTGCACGAACGACCCGAACACACGATAGAGGACATGCCTCAACGGGTCCCAAAAATACATCCCTCTGGTGTCCACAAACCATTTCAAGCTAGGGTTGTAGTAATGCATTACACATAAGATGCGAGGCACCCTGTTGTACGCTTCCTCCCAACTACCCCAACGAATCGCCAGGGCAATTTGCTTAGCACACCAAGCCTTTCCGTACTTCACATCATACTTAACGAATTTAGATATGGACTGTTGTAAAGAAGACACAAAAATGTCGTTATTGTCATCAACGAGCCCCAATATACGACGGGCAAGGTAACGTACAGTGAGCTGCTGATGATTTTCCTTTCCCCTATTTGTTAGGCAAGTGTGGGGTTCGACCACTTTACTTATCCTCCACTTGCCATCACTCTGCCTCTTTCATGCATTTAACCTCCACATACAACTGTTTTTGCATATCACGTGGTACCTCAACTCCTAGTCCAAATGAGTGATGTTGTACGACCTATGATGATATACAACATAGTCCTAAAGGAAGAGCTTCATCTCTAACATTGTATTGAATATTATCCCCTTCCTAAGGATTTCTTTCTCATGGTCATACAATGATTTCCTACATATCCAGAGACCAGTGTCACAAACTGCCATATCCATCGTGCTGACATCCCTATAGTTTAGAATGCCCTTGAAAGGTACGTTCATCGACCTTAGTTACTCAAGCTCAGTCGCTGTGTAAGGTGGTGGTGGAACATACCTGCTGCGCTTCGCTAATTCTGCCCCATGAATCATAGGGGTATCATCTGCTGACAAATCTATGACTAGTCTACCCTGAGCCTGGATAACATGCAAAACCTCAGTTGGTACTGGTAATGGCATACCATGAATAGGTACTGGCATGGCATCAACTGATGTGGGCATAGCATGTCTGTCTCCTTGGTCATCATCTGAATCGTCCAAATCACTACTAACTAAATCACTGATCCTGTCCTCCTCGTCCTGCTCCTCCTCTTCAGTTCAAACTCGTTCACATCGAAGTCATTACTTATACAACCTACTTGACTTGAATGAAACTGCTCCTGCGTCAACTGACCATCCAAATCTATGTTAACCTGAGTTGCTTCCCCTTTGACCCCTAATTCTTACTCACTGCCTCCAACACCGTCAATGGATGGCCGTCTAAGACAACCTGCATCCTGTACCCATTCTCCACCATCACCTCAGCCATGGGCACATTGGAATATTAGAGCACCTTATTGTAGCGGGACCAGTGAGTAGGGTCACGCAAGGGCATCAGGACATAGTGTGCCCTAGTCTTCCCAGTATCAAACCTCCCCTTTAGTGTGAAATCACCATCAAACTTTGCATTCAAACGGACACAAATGTCGTTGAAGCTAGGAGGTTCATCAAACTATTCTAATTCTTCTTCTATATCCTCAAACATACCATCTTCTCTCCTAGCACTTCCTCCGTAAAAAAACTCTAACACAACAATCCATCTACAAAAGCATTTTAAGAAACTTCATCAAGTCATCGAAATCGTCGTACGTACTGTCCATAGTAATATTAATACATATTCTAACTATAACTATACTAACTAATCTAATATTAACACATATACAAGACTAACTACAACAACTAATTATACTAAATACAATAACTAACTAGACTCACTAAATGTACTAACTAAACTAACTTTACTAACTTACTATACTGCCTATACTAACTAAACTAACTAACTTTACTAACTATACTAACTATACTTTACAAACTATACTAACTTTACTTATTGTACTAACTTACTATACTAACTAATCATTCAAACTAATTTTACATCTTAACCCTAAGTAACAACAATGTCGATTCAATCAACAAATACACAAGTGGGAGTATCTCGTGGCAGCAGCGTGCTCTCGTCCTCGCGGCGACGGTGCTCGTCCTCACGGCAGCAGCGTGCGCTCATCCTTGCGGCGACGACGCGCTAGACCAGGTCGGGAGACGGGTGGTCGCGGGGGGAGGCTCGGGGCGCTGGCCTCGGCGGCGGCGGCGGGTGGATGCGGGATAGAGGGAGGGGCGCGTGACAGTTGGGAGTGGTGTACAGCGGCGGTGCGGCAGTGAGGGCGACGGCGCGGTAGTGAGGGCAGTGGTGGGCGCGGTGGGCGGCCGGCGTGCGTGGGCGGGGGGCCGCCGGCGGGCACGGCGGGCGGCCGACGTGCGTGGCGCGGCGGTGTGCGTGGGCGGCGGGCGGCCAACGTGCGTGGCGTGGCCGATGTGCGGGCACAGCGGGCGGCGGGCGCGGCGGGCGACCGACGTGCGTGGCGCGGTGGTGAGGGCGGTGGCGGGCGCGGCGAGCGTGCGTGGCGCGGTGGCGGCTCTGCTTCAAACGGGCCGAGTGAGAGAGAGAAAGGGAAGCAAGGCCGGACGGTAGGCCTGTACAAGGGTCTGCTGCGCCGTGATGCGTGGCGCGGCAGTCCCGACGCGCCGTGATCTGTGGCGTGGTGAAGCTGGGCCACGTCACCGGTCAGCGGCCCTGATCGCTGCCACGTTGGCAGCCTCGCCGCGCCCATGCATGACGCAGCAGATTGAATTCGCCGCGTCATGCGAATAGGCACGATAAAAAAATGTTAGATTTGAAAAAAAAATAAAGAGTTTCAGTTTTAAAAATAGTTTTGTAAAAGTGTTAAAAATATAAAAAATTTCACCGTGACAACCCGTACCCCTCCCTCTTGCCGGATCCCCACCTCCGCGTCTCTCCGTCTAGTTGGGGGCGGAGATCCGCGTCCAGGCGAGGTCTGCTCTGGTCATCTCCGGTGATCCTCCTCCCTCGCCCGTCGCCTGCACCCGTCAGTTCCCTTCGCTGGGCGCTCAGAGATCGGCGCCCTCCTCCCGTCCTCCCACGCTCGCGGGTATGCTTGTGCTAATCCCAGTGTAGCAGCGGTTCCTTTCTGTATAGATAGTTCCCGCAACAGTGCCAGCTTTCTTTGATCTTTTCCGTGATTCGGCTCAGTGAAATGGATGGAGATTTGATTTTTCTGATTCAGCCACTTACGATGTATAATTCGACCTTCAAGCATCACAGAAGCCAGAAACCGTTGATGCAATTGGCCACGGCTAAGCTGTAGCATAATCTTCTTTGGATTTGCCCACATGAGTTCAGTTTAATTTCAGTTCAGTTCAAGAACGTAACACGGATGGTGGTTGCAAAACCATTTTCTTCTTCAGCATAAAACACAAATTGGCAGATGCACTAGTGAACCCGGGGCTTGGTTTTGCTCTCAATTTCACCATATCTCCATTCAGATCCAGTTACTTGTGGGTTTGGTGCTGCTGCCTTGTGTTGCCATTCTGATGTAGTCCAATCCATGATCCATTTAGCGCCTAGTCCTACTGGACTTGAAATGCTGCCTTAAAAATGCCCTCTCTTTTTTTTTATTATGTGATGCTAAACTGCAAATTACTAGATCAAGGTGTGGATCTGTCTGTTTACCCTTCTGCTGTTATTTGCTCTGCAGGAACTAACTCGAGTAGTGTCGCTCAATGAATTTCCTCTACCGAACTACGCAGCCTGCAGCACCTGAGCTTCCAAGAATTTCAGAGCAAGATCAGCACAGGGATGCCTTACAAAAGCTGACTACGACACTGGAGGGTCTCATCGCGGACGATTCATACCAGCCCTCCTCCACCCACAGCGAAGATGGTGCTGCTAATAATGGGTCTAGGGATATCAGTGGGGATCCTTCATCTCTAGATTCGAAAAGCCTATTCCCACTGGGGACACATGCCGATGTCGCGGAGGATGAAGGATGGATAACAATTCCATGCAGTTCGGTACCTTTGACTTGCTTGTTTCGTTTTTTGTTATATATCCTAAAGGCATAAACACACCGATGCTTTTTGTTAATCAGACTTAACTTATCTTTCATTAGCCAAGTGATCACTCCTTAGTCCTTATCTCCATCCTTGATCTGCATTGCATAAGTAAGGTTATATAGCTTTTTTTTTTCCTTTACTACTAACTAATTGACCATTAATTGTTTTCAGTGTGGAAGTGTAACCCTAACAGTTACCTGCTAAGTCCAATAATTTGTTTTCCTTGTGACATGCTACTGGTAGCTTCTTCATGCTAGTAAAACCATCTTAACATCTCAGCGAGTTAGTAACATCTACAATTTTCTTACAGAGGCACTTCCTGAAAGTTTGAATGACATATCAGAAATGGTTCAGTTGCAGACTCTGGACCGTTCCTTCCTTTTCCCTGGTAAATGTGTTTTCCTTGTGACTTTAGTACAAGTTTCTGGTTCTATTGCATCTTAGTTATTACATATTTTCTGGAATTGACTTGGTTCAGTTATCAGGCGAGCAGGTTCATATACTGGTGTGCCTGTCAGCTTCTAAGCAAGATGTACAGGTTATATCCCCCTTTAGAATTGCTGCAGTGATGTCAAAGAATGGAAATTCTTTGCAAAACTCTACAAATAAACCTAGCCCTGTCAGTGCAAATGGTCATGATAATGGAGCAGCTGGAGAAAGTGGCTATCAGGATGTTGAACTCAATGGTGAAGCTTCTCCTTCAGAACATGATATTTTGGAGACTCGATCTCTCCTTCAGATGGAGTACCATAAGCAGCAGATCGAACATGTGTTGCGAAGATTTAGGGAATCCAATTTTTTTGTCCGGATTGCGGAGTCAGATGAGCCTCTCTGGTCCAAGAAAAGAGTAACTTCAGCTACGACGGCTGATGAACGATCAGATAACCAGGGAAATAGTAAGAGCTCAAAGAGTAATGTTTACAATACCATTTCTGATAAAGGGATTTTTGATGGTAGCACATCTGGGGGAGTCGCTCGAGATGTTGTCAAGTGTTATTCTCTGCAGAACGGAGACATAGTGGTATGTTTTGAAGGGTTCTTTTTAATTACTGTGTGACATTGTATACTACAACTTCTTGTACTGCATGACCAGTGGCCACTAGACATTGATGGGCATTGCATAAATAACTGCAAGTTTTGTGCTCCAACCTAAGCTTAGCCAAGCAGCAGGCACCTACTGGAAATTGACTTAAATCTGCTACTAACTCAATGTTGTCAAGTGTTATTCAATGTCAATTGTCAATCACCCAAGTTAATTTATATTTTTACACTTGTCATTTTGATTTCTTTAGGCAACATTTCCTTTAAATGGCTTTACTAAATGGTGGGAAGTATAAATATCTTCCCACTTAATAAGGGCAAACATGTAAAGAACTTGCCACCTGATGCTATTGTAGACTGGAATGGCACATTTAATCAGTTTTAGCAATTTAGCAGCACTGATCAATCTTACTGATGTGTTCTGGAAACTTTTAAATACCACATTGCCTTCTATAAAGAGTTAAATGCACCATAGGTCCATTAACTTTTGCCTGTGTGTCACCTAGGTCCATGAACTTTGAAAGTGCAGTCTATAAACTAATTAGAGTAAATTTCAGAAAACTACACTGTAGGTAGAATAAATTTTGCAAAACTACACAACACTTCTCATGCATCACAAAACTACACTTCTTAGAATTAATTCAAAGCAGTGTACTTTTTTCACTTCATATTGGTATTCCATATCGTGAAACTACATTTTTGTTTGGGCTTAAAAATTAAACGTGTAGTTCTGTGATATGTGAAACAACATGAAATGTGTAGTTATGTAGTATGCAATACAGTATTGTAATAGAAGTTCAGTTTGCAATTTTATTAAAAATGTTAGTTTAGCAATATAGAATGCCAATAGAAGTGTACTTTTGTTAAATTGATTCTTGTAGTTTTGTGATTGTTTTAGAAACTTATACCTTCCTTTAGTTTTCTCAAATTTCTCAATTAATTAAGTCATTTTTGTAAAATCTATGTGAATCCTTCTATGCTACTACATACCCCTATGGAGTAATACATTAATATATTAGATGCAGAGAAAAGAATGATTTTTTAAATAAAAAATAAACGTGTATAAGAAGTTAGTGGTGTTACTATTTGGCTATGTTTTTTTGTTGTAATTCTCGTTGGTTTAAATGCATGCTGATTTAGCAATGATGTTTTCTGGTGGAAGGATGCAGGTTGTTTTGCAAGTGAATGTTGGCGTTAACAAATTGGAAGATCCTGTGCTTGAAGTCCTTCAGTTTGAGAAAAGTATATCGAACAATTGTATGCCTCAGAATCTTGTGGATGGACTTTCTGACAGTAATAATGACCCATGTCAGGAGCTGCTTAGTTGGTTGCTCCCTTTAGATCGCACATTACCGCCTCGTTCTTTGGCACCCCCTACTCTCAATCCAAGTGTATCACACAAGCAATCTTATTCTGCTTCTGGTTCTCAAATATTCAACTTCAGAAGTTACTCCATGCCTTCAGCCTCTTCTGTTCAGACACCGAATAATATAAGACCACCACCAATATCTGAAAGTCAAGAATTTATGCCTGAAAAACCTGCAAAAACCCCAGACATTATAAATGATGGGCAGCTTTCGTTTAGAGGAGTTCCTTTAGAACCTGAACGGTATTCTGTACGTTGTGGTTTAGAAGGCGTGTATCTACCAGGGAAAAGATGGAGGAGAAAAGTTGAAATCATTCAACCCATTGAGGTTCATTCTTTTGCTGCAAAATGTACTGTGGAGAATCTTCTCTGCGTCACAGTAAAGGTGTGTGGAATATATCAAAACATCTATTCATTTTTCATTTTGTGAACTAATGTTCCAAAGATAATGTTTATATCATGAATTCCTGTTGCAGAATATTGCTCCTACTCATGCGAAAGATATAGTTGTATTCATTGACGCAATTACTATTGTATTTGAGGAGGCATCCAAAGGAGGTGCTCCTTTGTCATTACCAATTGCTAGTATTGAGGTTGGACATGGTCACAGCTTACCAAATCTAGCACTCAGGTATATGCAAGTTTTCTAATTGGTTCTGCTCATGATCTACCTGCTATTACAGCTTTATGTAAAGTTCAAGCACAACATGATTACAAGCAGAAGAAATTTGAGCGGAAAATACAGCAGGGGAGGCCCCCACTGTAAACTTTTTATTAAACAAAAAGAGCGGAAAATACAAGCAGAAGAAATTTTATTCCCCTTGGAAAATGCCAAAGCTAGCAGCTTAAGATACAAAATAAGCACATAAAATATACCAACATGTTTCAGGGACCATAATTGATACCCCCCCCCACAACACACACACACTTCATTCCCTAAATTTCCACTGTTCTGCTTTTAAGAACTCAAAAATTAACTTCGTATGGTGGTGCTGAATTGTGGTTTCTTCAATGGTGGAGGGAACAAAGTCCACAAATGTTGTTTCCGTATCCAAGATTCACTTTATTTGTCGTGTGCTTGTAATAAAGTGTGTGACAATTGTTTTAAGCATTCTACATTATTTCTTATCTTTCTAGGAGGGGCGAGGAGCACTCTTTTATTCTCAAGCCAGCAACTATGTCCTCAAGGGAACGGAAGACCAGTGGTTATGCACCTCCGGCCTTGTCACTCCCAACGATGACCGGTGCTACTTTAAATACTCATACACCAAAGGTTGGTGAGCCATATGCTGATCTAAGCGACCAATATGCTGTACTGGTATCTTATCGCTGCAATTACACAGGTAAGCTATTGATAAAACAAATAGATTCTTCAAAACAGGAATGGAGTGGATTTTTCTGATTAGCCCTTTTATCTTTGTAGAATCTAAACTTTTTTTCAAGCAAGCAACAAGCTGGCGACCCTCTGCAGCCAGCGATCTTATGATCTCTGTATCATGCGAACTGTCTTTACGAAATCCTAGTCTTGGTGCTCGAGTTCCTCAACTCCCCGTGCAGGTTATTGCAGTATCTCCTCACTTATTTTATGGAAATTCTCCAATTTATCACTATGATAATGATATATCATTTCCTGCAGATACTAACACTCGAAGCTACTAATATGACATCCGAAAACCTTACATTAAATGTCCTTGCTCCTGAAGCATCTGGTTCTTCTTCAGTTGTATCCTTAATCTCAGCCCCAACCACCCCAAATGGTTCTTTTGATGGTGTTAATGAGTCAGCAAAAAGATCTGGGCTGGGAAAACATGGAATTGGCTTTGGAAGATTGAATTCTGTCCTAGCTACATCTCCAAAAGAAGGTGATAATGGAGGAAATAGAATGAGTAATGCTTCAGGCTGTACTCATCTGTGGTTGCAAAGTGCAGTGCCCCTAGGGTATTGACCCTTACCTGTTTTCACTTACTTAAAAGAGTCAACTCACAACTGAGCTACCTATATTCCAAAACATTGAAGAATGACATTTGGTTGTGGTGAATGTGTCTAACAGGTGTGTTCCTCCCCGTTCAAGCACCACTGTCAAACTTGAGCTGCTTCCATTAACAGATGGAATTATCACACTTGATACGCTGCAAATAACCGCAAGGGAGAAAGGTAATATTTTCATTTAAAAAACAAATCTGCAAAAGAAGTGCTGATTTGGCAGCTAGATGTAGACTGTTACCAACACAGCAAGTGGTACTTTAGCAGCTAGACATAGAGTGGACACAGATTGTCAATTTTAAGAAAGGAGTTTGTTATTTGCGTCATCCTGGCTTGAAGTGACTTGGGAATATTAATGCAGTGGATTTAGACTACCAAATACATTCAGTGCTTTGGTTGTTATGTCATATATATATTTTTTATCCTTTTAAGAATTGAGAAGTGATTGCTGCCCTGCAGGCCTTGCTTACATACCGGAGCACTCCTTGGAGATACATGCCACATCTGGCATGTCATCAGGAAGGTCATAGGATAGGAGAGCATCAAGAGGTATACTGTTCTGTATATTGGGGGCCTGGGATTCAGCCTGTTCAAATGAGTGGGAGACAACTAGGCCAAGCATGTTTTTGCTCATTTGTATTGGATGGACATAGGCGCTCACCTTGGAGCGAAGCTACACCAGATATAACCGAAGGATGGTTGCTGCCAACATGGAGAAACGAGCACAATAGTATTCCATGTATCATAATTGTGTTACAAATCCATTCATTTCATAGTGAGGCCGGCGAGATACTGGTGTTGGTCTTCACAAAGGCTTATGAAATTTGTAATTTGTGTTGCTTAGTTTTGATGCCATTATTGTTGTTGTGGACTTGTGTTCATTTTGCCTTGAAGTGTGAATCCCACTCATGTTGCTGAGTTGTACCATATGCGGGCTCTGAGTCTGATCATAATATACTGGAGAATTAGAAACATGTGTATCGTGTAGCCATCGCTCATCTTCATAATAGTATATAAGTTGCTCATGATTTTTAATCTTTGCCACACTTCTGTTAGATTTACTAATCTAGTTTTGCAACTCAGCCTCTTGAGTGTGGCACGCAGTATTCTTGGCAGGCAATGACCACACAGCTGCCCAGCTGGGTGCTAAGCTTTTGGTCTGAACAGTACTAGAAGCAGACTCCCAAATCATGGCCTGTTAAAGAGACTGGAAATATAGTTGAGGAAGGTTATAAAATTACAATAGGAAAGACAATAGTTACCCTCCGTCCTAAAGTAAGTGACGTTTTTTTATTTTAAAACTTCTTGTTTAAATAATAAAAATAAATAAGTCATTATTAAAGCATCTCTAATGATAAAATAAGTCATAACAAAATAAATAATATTTATAAAAAAAATTGAATAAGACAAATCGTCATACTAGAAGTAAAAAATATCATTTATTTTGGGACGGATTGAGTAGGCCTTTGTATAAGTTGATCAATTGTAAGATCGTTTAAAGCAATTGAATTTTAGCATTTTGATTATGTGAATCCAGGAGCAGTTCATTAGCAACACCAATGCACCACGGTAGCAACGCGGTGCCGTCGCCACCTAGCGCCCGTCTGCACGCCGGCGCACTCCTGGCCGGCCTCGCCCTCCGCGCGACGACCCCGGCGGCGGCGAGGCAGCTCCAAGCGCAGCTCCTCGTCCGGGGCCTCCCTCTCCCCGCCCGCGCCGCCGTCGCCCTCATAGCCTCGTCCCATTCTCCGCGCCACGCCCGCGCCGTCTTCGACAGCGCCGTCCCCGCCGCCTCCGAGAACGTCTACCTCTGGACCGCCACCATCGCCGCTTACGCCAGGCACGCCTCGTCCTCGCCGTCGGCGGCTGAGCAGGCGCTCGCGCTGTTCCGGCTCATGCTCCGGCGCGGCGTCCCTCGCCCGAACGCCTTCACGGCGAGCTCCGTGGTCAGGTGCTGCTCGGCGCTGCGGGCCGTTCGAGTGGGGATCCAGGTGCACGGGTTCTTGGTCAATGCCGGACTCGGACGCGCTGCGCACGTGGCCGCCGCGTTGGTTGACATGTACGGCAACCTTGGCCGGGTAGCGGATGCGAGGAGGGTGTTCGACGAAATGCCTACCGCAAGCGTGGTGCTGGGGAATACCATGGTGGCGTGCTACGTCAGGGCAGGGGATGTGGAGGCTGGGCGGGTTGTGTTTGACAGGATGGTGGAAAGGGACCCAATCTCTTGGAACACGCTGATGATGGGGTACTTGCGGCAGGGGGAAGCAGGTGTGGCAAGGGAGTTGTTTGAAGAGATGCCGGAGAGGAATGTGAACAGCTGGAACATGGTGATTGCCGCATGCTCGCAGGAGGGGCCCTGGCTGATGCGCTTGCAGTGTTCAATGGGATGCGCCTCGCAAGGTTCCAACCTGATCCCGCGACGATGGCTGTGCTGATGTCCGCCTGTGCACAGCTTGGTTCTCTGTCAGTTGCAAGTCAGGTGCATGGGATTTTGAGGAAAGGCTGTGTCGAAATGAACTTCCATGTTCTGAATTCGTTGATCGACATGTATGCTAAATGTGGTAGCGTCAGCCAAGCTCATTTGTTGTTTGTTGAGACATGTCTAAAGGACACAGTGTCTTACAATGTGATGATCTGTGCTTTTGCACACCATGGACATGGCAGGGATGCACTTCTGATCTTTAATGAGATGGCTAAGGAAGGGTTGCAGCCAGATGCGGTCACTTTTCTTGGCGTTTTGTCAGCTTGTGCTCATGCTGGACTAGTTCATGATGGAAAGTTCTACTTTGAATCTATGAGAACAAATTATGCAATTGAGCAATCCCCGGATCACTATGCGTGCATGGTGGATCTCTATGGCCGAGCTGGACTCATTGAGGAAGCATACCAATTAGCACGGTCAATGCCAATGAAACCGCATGCAGGTGTCTGGGGAGCCTTGATCAATGCCTGCAGGAAGCATTGCAATGTTAAAGTTGGTAAGGTTGCGGCGAGAGAACTCATTGCTATTGAACCTGGGAATCCTGGAACCTATGTACTCCTTGCCAACACATTGGCTTGTGGTCAGCAATGGGATTTTGTCGAGACTGTGTGGCAATCAATGAGAGGAAAGGGAATTGAGAAAATGGCAGGGTGCAGTTGGCTTGAAGTGGAAAATGTTGTTCATGAGTTCTTGATGGGGGAGTCCAGCCACCCTAATTCCGATGAGATTTACAGTATCCTTGAGCATCTATATCTGCAACTGACTTAAGTTTGGTCTTCTGCTGTAAAGCAGTCTAGAGACTAGAGGTGATCATTTCTTATGTTGGATGCCTCCATATGCAGTGTCAGGGTGTACAAAGAAATTTGTATCTGTCAATTTTAACAAGTAGGAGTCTGAGATGTTGAAGGCTGTGATTTGAAATGTAAACTTCTGGGAGCAGCTGCATCAAGGATGGTTTCATTTCATAATGACTGAAGACACAATGCAATGTACTTCAAAATGTGGCAAATCGTGGTATTCTGCAGAATCCATGACACAGAAGAACAAAACCAAGTCAAGGTATGATGCTGTGATATAATTGTATTTATTGTGCCTAATTTATGTCAGAACTGCACATTCTTACTTGTTTGGATCCAGGGAAGTCCCTGTCACATCGGACGTTCGAATACTAATTTGGAGAACTAAACATGAGTTAATTATAAAACTAATTGTACAGATGGAGACTAATTTGCGAGACGAATCTATTAAGCATAATTAATCCATCATTAGCACATGTTTACTGTAGCACCACATTGTCAAATCATGGACTAATTAGGCTTAATAGATTCGTCTCGTAAATTAATCTCTATATGTGCAATTAGTTTTATAATTAGTCTATGTTTAATACTCCAAATTAGTGTCCAAACATCCGATGTGACAGGGACTTAAAAATTAGTCCCAGGAACCAAACACCCCCTAAGTTTCCAAAATAAAGCTACATTGCAGAAAATATTTTATCATCTGAGTGAGCAGATCAGCAGAAAGGCCGCTTGTTCTTCCACTAAAACATTTGGAAGTGCAATCAAGCCTTAATTGTGGGTTTTGGCGATAATGACAACGCAGTTAAAGAACTAATGAGATTTATCAAGATGACAAGCAGGGAATTTATATTTGAGGATGCTACACGGAACGGAGGAGTCCCCAATTACAAATGTAGTTGGCTTCAAACTCAACGGAGGTTTAAATTCTTTTATATATTGAATTTGAGTATAGGAAAAGCCATACTATAAAGGGGGCACAATGCTTAAGCTAATATGTACTACCAAGTGCTCAAACAACCACAAGCATCCTTAGATTCACAGCCAAGACAGTCTGCACTTCACTATTACCCTTGTTGTTTTGCATGGTGCGAGCTCTGACTCGCCCGACCCCTTGGGTGCGAGCTCTAACTTGCCCGACGCCATGGTCGCGGGCTCCGGCTTGCCCGGCCGCTTGCCCGACCCTTTGGTCGCGTCCTTGTCTCGCCCGACCTCTTGGGTGCAGTGTCCGTTGAGGGCTGGGGGTATATATACCTTTTTCTTTCCTCGCCAACGGCTATCTGCGATTTAAAGTGACCGTTGGGGGCTGGGGGGTATATATACCTTTTCCCTTCCTTTCCAACGGTAACCAACCAGCTCTCTTCTTCCTCACTTCAGCACACCAAAATAGAGCAGGAGCTCTCTCTCACTCCATTATTGACCTGAAGCCCCAAGCAAATCTATTAATTTCCCCATCAATGCTTGAGGAAAAAGGGTCCAAAACTCGAATAGAGAGTAGCTCCATTGATTCCTAAACTTTAAAGAGCACTTGGTTCACGTCTTAGCAGGCGGTTGTGTTTGTTACACTTTGAGCTCGACTCCTAGCCAGCTAGAGCGTCGCCCGGTGAGCTTGCCAAGTTTGTGGCAGCACCGGGAGGTTTGTAACCACCTCTTGCAGCGATTAAAATCACTCCTCGTCTCAAGAGTTCACTCTCTTGACTTGAGAACGAGGTAGGGTTGCAAATCTCTAAGACTTAGTGGTATACCTCAACAACGTGGACATAGACAAGCCTTGGTGGCGAGCTGAACCACGGGATAAATCATTGTATCATCTTGTGTTTGTGTTGCTACACTTGTGTTCTTGTTGTTGTTGAGGTGATCTCTAGAGTTTGAGATCGATCTACTTGTGTGTGGTGTTCCCACCACTTTTAGCTGTCGATCTGTGATCTACTACTCTGTAGGAAGTTAAGAAATTTACCCAATCTAAATTTCGTTGGGTAGATTTTGAACTGTGAACTAATCTCTCCTGCAGGTGCGGTAGTGCCGCGCTCACAGAACGACAGTGCCGCGGGTGAATTTGACTTCGGTTTAAGTTGAATTTTTACAGGCCTATTAACCCCCCTCCTCTAGGCGTTCTAGTGATCTACAACATTGTAGAGAGATTGATAAATAGGGACTGGCACTCAGTGCTTCGGATTTCTTGATTTTATCTTGGCACAACTATTGAGGTCTAAATAGAAGAAATTTTGGCACAACAAACATGATTATTTCTTGAGTTCAGTCTCTGATAGATGCATTCAAACTTCTGGTAACTTTACTTTTTTTCCTCTATATCTTTTGTTTGCAGCATTACATTTGTGACATCGAACTAGTGGAATATTGTTTTCTGTTGCTGTAAGCAGATGCTCTGCAACAGAACTTTACATAGCAAGAGCATGGTTAGGACATCATGGTTCTCTCTAAAATGTTCAGACATTTTAAACATGTGGAAATTACATAGCGATGTCTCTCTTTCCAGGTACTCCATTGCTAGTCAAGGCCTTCTTTTCGGTTGCAAGATGGAGCACACCATATCCAAGTTTGGTATCAGATCTACCTCCTCTGTGAGATGATCCGCGTCAATGGCGGCATGGGCTGGCAATCGAACAAGTTTGGCAATATGCTGAGCAACCAATGTGCGGGATTTTCCATGGCCTGATGCCGTGCAAGAGCAGGGTTTCCCATGAGTCCATGCAGAGCAGAGCTGAACATCCTGGAGCAGCGAAGCTTCCCCTATCCACTGAAACTCCAGACGATAACATAATGGCCGCAGTCGATTAGTCTTGTTGCCGCAGAAAACTTGGCGTGGACGCAAATTGACGGCATCAAGGAGGCAGTGGTGACCGGTGGACGGTGGTGCTTGGATCTTTGGTGTCAGTGGCCGCTGGGCTTCAGCGAGCCATGCTTTGCACGCTGATCCAATGATCTCAGCACTGTTGTCATCTACACGAAGAGAACTGGGACGATGCCCCTGAGCTCAGTCTTGGACACAATTAAGCTGAGCCCAACGACAAGCATGCCGCCGCCATGGGTGCTGCTGGGAGACTCGCAAGGAAGAACAAGCTGCTAGCAACATTTTGCACTGGACACTTAGCTTTTTGTTTTTGCAATCTTATTATTTCGAAGGACACTTAGCTTTGTAGAACTCTATGTATTTTGTGCTCACACCTATTCAAGTCTCTTACACAGCTTGGACAACTTCTAGCTGTTCGCGTTTTGTTTCCTTTTTCATCTGAGAACTGCTGGCGATTATAGCGACACTAATGTGATTAGCCAATAGCAACATGGAACCATCTGACACCGAGGCTTGCCTCGAGATTCGCGTGCGACTAGGATAGGGACCATCTGGGCTGTTAAATCAGGCTTGCGCTGTCGATTGGGCCCGGCCCATGGAGCCCGTAGTGCCATGTAACTTGTTCGGCCCACTAGGGTTTTGGGTGGTATATAAACGCTGCCCTCGCGACCTAGCACCACTCCCAGCAACCCCTCACAGAAGCGGCGGCGGCGGAGCAAGAGGAGGCGAAGGCGAGGGCGCGAGGGAGGGAGAGGAGCACCAGCCATGGTGCACGTGAACTTCTATCGCAACTGTAAGCCCGCGCCGATGATCTCCTCCCCTACTCCTCTTTGTTCGTTGCGCTTCGTTCCCGTTTCATTTTCGTTGCGGGGGCGCCGTGATCTGGTGCCCAACTGGGGGCGCATAGGCCTATTTCGTCGAGTTCTTGGCTAGTTGGCTCTACCTGACCTTGGTAGAGCTTGCTGAAGGTTGCCGTTTGGAGCACCTATGGTTTTGTCTCGGTTTGAGTTCCTACCTGCGCCGTGGTTTGCGAGGCGAGGCGGAACTCGGTGGATATAGCGTGTCCACTGCTCTTGGTGTCAGTCGATCTGATCTGAGATTTGTAGAGCGCAAGGCGTTGCTCTGGACCTGATTCGTGGAAAGTGATTATAAGTGGTGGCTAGCTTTGTCTGAGATGAGGGAGTCCAATTCTCTTGTTTTCCTATGTGCAGTAAATTTGAATGAGATGAGCGAGTCCAATTTTCTTGTTTGCCCATGTGGAGTAAAAATGGTATATGAACTGTTTGGTTTGTGTACATCACCAGGGTTCCTGCTAGGCTTGTGTAAACCCTTCAGAAATTTCTATCACTATTGTCTATAGGTTTTTGGCACCCGGTGGTGTTTGTTCAACAAATAAATTATTGGGGTTGTGTCGCCTGATTCTTTAGTATGGTCCATGCTGCTGTCATATGTAACTGCCAAAATTAAGCATTCTATGTTAGTTCACCATGGAACTTGATATTTGTTCAATATCATGTTCCATTTTGTAATTAAAATTGCTTATTTGTGCATTTTCTGGCTTGTTTCTCAAATGGTTACTTAGTGCTCTTTAATCTGTTCATTGTGGTTGAAAAGGATATCTGGCAACTAGCTGTCCATTTATTTCTAGTTTTTTCCCCTTAAGCTTTTTCATATGTTTCATGAATATCCCTAGTTATGTTTATGGTGAACGGCTTCTTTATGCAGATGGTAAAACATTCAAGAAACCAAGGCGTCCTTATGAGAAGGAGCGTCTTGACGCTGAACTGAAGCTGGTCGGTGAGTATGGGCTGAGGTGCAAGCGTGAGCTCTGGAGGGTCCAGTATGCACTGAGCAGGATCCGTAATGCTGCAAGGCACTTGCTCACCCTTGATGAGAAGAATCCCCGCCGTATCTTTGAGGGTGAGGCGCTTCTCCGCCGCATGAACCGCTATGGGCTGCTCGCTGAGGGTCAGAACAAGCTTGATTATGTCCTTGCCCTTACTGCTGAGAACTTCCTTGCAAGGCGCCTTCAAACACTTGTCTTCAAGGCTGGCATGGCCAAGTCCATTCACCATGCTCGTGTCTTGATCAAGCAGCGTCACATCAGGTATGCTTACGTGTCTGCTTGTAATAAAATTCTTTTTGGTAGTGTTTATCTGAAAACCAGGTTTTCAGTGGAAGGGCCTGATGATAAGAATATGCAAGTTATCTCAACAGTACTCTTTTGATGCAAAAAAAATCTCTGAAACCTGTTTTGCCCTTTTAATATATATATATATGAGTAGGAAGTAGCAATGATACTGGGTTATGTCTAATAAATGGTTGCCAGTGATTACTCACATATCTTGCATGTCATTTCATGATTTCTTTGTTCCCTGCTTGCCTCTGTAAATGCTTGTGCCAATTCAGTACTGGATTATATTGCCTATGGATTATCTTTCTCAAAACAGCACATAGTTTTAGCTTATCTTTTAAGTTCATTGCATCATTGGCTGTCCCCTGAATGTTTTCTTTGGTTTATAATGATTTTGTACTCTCATTTCACTCAATGATTAGAACAATAGTTTTTGAAGCCTATATCTATGTTTCTCTTAGAAGGGCGGGCCTGGTGCAAGCGGTAGAGTCTTACCGCCTGTGACCGGAAGGTCCCGGGTTCGAGTCGCGGTCTCCTCGCATTGCATAGGCGAGGGTAAGGCTTGCCACTAACACCCTTCCCCAGACCCCGCACAGAGCGGGAGCTCTCTGCACTGGGTACGCCCTTTTATCTGTGTTTCTCTTAAGCTGTTTCTGAAACTTCAAAGTACTAGTGATATAACTTTTTTGAATGTATTATCTTGTATAGATTAGATTAGCATGGTTAGCTGTCCTGAATATTTCTAAACTGTGATGTTAAAGCGGATGTCAATGTTTCTTTCAAACTGTTCCTTGAATGAAATTTCTGTTTGTGGAACCTTGCAGGGTTGGTAGGCAAATTGTCAATGTCCCATCATTCATGGTGAGGGTGGAGTCTGAGAAGCACATTGACTTTTCACTGTCAAGCCCGTTCGGTGGGGGCCCCGCAGGCAGGGTGAAGAGAAAGAACCAGAAGAAGGCAAGTGGTGGTGGCGGCGATGGTGGTGATGAGGATGAGGAGTGAGGATGCACAAGTAGCATTACCCAATATGATATTATCTAGTTTTCATAAACATGTTCGTATCATGAGTACTTAGCTGCGTGACCTGATGCTCAGTCTCCTGCGCTGACTCTGCGTCATGGATGGTTATCATTTTATCTTGTGGTGTTATTAGCCTATACTTAGCTGCTATGTTTGGAGATGTTTAATCTTGTGGTTGGTTTTTGACTTAAGCTCTGTTGCTATTAAGCTGTTCCTGTTTTATTTTGGCCAATGATTTGCTGAAACATGGCTCATAATCTGCCTCAGTTGCCTTTGCTTGTATTGATCGGGGTATATAAGGATAGTATTAACGACTGGTTTGTGAACATTTGATGTCATCATACTTACGCGTCGGGTTTTTTTTGACATGGAAGAACTTCATTACTCAGAAACAGCTGCCAAATCATTGTCGTTACCAGGGCTAAGGTTTTTTTTTAACATGGAAGTAGAACTTCATTACTCAGGAACAGCGGCCAAATCATTGTCCAACAAAGTCTGAATACAGTTTGGAATGCAGTCTAGAACTGAGCCTGCACATGGACCAAGGCCCTGCTCCAACAGCAGCTAGCGAATACGCTAATAAGCTGGTTGATGTTGTTTTGTTGTGAGATAAATATTATACCATAGCTGATAAGTTTCGCCATGCTTGGATCAACACCAATTGAATTGACTGCATGAACCACTACAGTGGCGTCAGTCTCCAAAACAATTCTCTGAATACCCAATTCAGCTGCTCGCTGGACGGCTTGCAGGCATGCAACGACCTCAGCATGCATGCCGGCTCAAGGACCTTCCCCAATCTGCCATGTCCAGAACTGATCAGCACACCATCATCATTCCGGATTACAAACCCCCAGCCACCAGATCGGTCAAGCTCCCTGAAAGCCCCATCACAATTGAGTTCTCCATATTGCTCACAGGTTTTGTTCTGCATCTTTCCAGAGAAGTGCATTCTTCCGGATACGTTCTAATGATCTGCGCTATCTGTAAAGTACTCGGCCTCTCTCCTTCTCGCACAGCACACCTTTCACCCCACCAGAGATATAACAATATATGATCACTGATCTCTGAATTTCAGTTTTAAGCTTCAAAATTTTCTCCACCTCCTTAACTGATTCCGCAGACATCATATCAGCTCTAGTGGATTCCATCTGCAGTTCGCCCCATAGCCAACGTACCTGCTTGCACTTGAAAAACAAGTGTCCGCCATCCTCATCCAATCGATTGCACATAACGCATTTTGTGTCTAGTTTCGTGCCCGCATCTCCAGCAGTATCCCCAAAATCATGACCCATTTAGATTTGGGTGCCCAATCTCGTTTTTGTTAACCCAACAAATTTCTTCCACACGAGCAAGCCTGCTCGGGAGGTCGTATCGTATCGTGGATTATTTACTGCTGGCTGATTTGGTGTGAGAGAAAAACACTGTTCCTGGCTGGAAATTTACGATCGCTTACGAGCGAGCGAACAAGCTTGCCCCCAAACAAAGCCCCCCAAAATCCATATAAGGAGACAATAACATGGGGACCCATGCGTCATTGAGTCAAACCTTTCTTCCTCTCCGCACACAGGGCAGGGCCAAGCAGAGTGAGCTGGGCGGCGAGCAGGCCAGCGTTGCTCCCACACGACGGAGGGAGGTGGAGGGAGTCGCGAGCAGGTGTTGCCGCGTTCGCGAGCCACCGGGAAGGGAGGAGTCGCCGCATCCATGCAGGCCCTGCACCGCCGGCCACCGGAAAGGAAGGACGCCGCATCCGCGGGGGCCTTGCGCCATCGGCCATCGGGATGGGACGAGCCGCCGCGTACGCGCGGTCCCTACGCCGCCGGCCATTAGGAAGGGACGAGCCGCCGCGTACGCGCGGTCCCTACGCCGCCGGCCATTAGGAAGGGACGAGCTGCCGCATCCACGCAGGCCCCTGCGCCTCTGGCCATCGGGAAGGGGGGAGCCGCCGCGTCCGCACGGCCCCTGCGCCGTCGGCCATCGGGAAGGGGTCCGCGCCGCGTCCGCGCGGGATCTGCGTCGCCGGGCATCGAGAAGGGAGGTCGCCGGGGGAGGAGAACGGAGACCGCCGTCGCATTGGAGCGAGGGCCGAGAAGTTCCGTACGACCGTGGGAGAGGCAACGTAGGATGGGGGCCGTGGGGTGAGCCCCCCATTTCTCCCATAGGGATGGGGTGTGGAGGTGGATTTGGGTGGCGTTTTTATTTTTTTAGACAACCATATTTAGCAATGGGGTTGAAGTGAGGTTCTGCTGGAGTTGCTCTTAGTTTTATTCTCAAAGCCAAGCTATTATGCCCCAAACACCAAAGGAAATGTAACATCTCCCGTGGACATTTCATTTACCACAATTTTTTCCAACATTGCTTGCTGCTCATCCTCGCCCCGATGAAGATGATCCCCCTCCATTCACCGTGCTCCTTTTCTTCTCCTCAATATAAACCTTGTAAACCGATCTTACTGTGAACAGACCGCTTTTTATTATAGTGCCAAGCTTGGATATCATCCATTCCTTCATGTACTAGTATGCTCAAAACAATCTCCGCGTCTTCCTCAAAAAAAAAATATTCCCCGGACCAAGTCCTCATCCCACGAGCCCGTGCTAGGATCAAGAAGCTCATCAGCCCTGGTCAGTAGGCTGGCTCCCCTCGGCGTGAAGGGTTTTTCGCAGATGTTCTCTAGGTAGCCAAGCATCCTCCCAAATCTTTATATTTGAGCCATCACCAACTCTCCAAATTATTCTCTTCTTCAGCAAGTCTATCCCCGAAAGAATACTCCACCAAGTATAAGACATACCTTCTTTAGGCTTTGCTCTCAACACATCACCGCCTGGGAAATATTTGGCCGCTAGAACCTGGGCACAAAGAGAATCTAGGTTCATCAGCAAGTCAGCAACCTCCACCCTTGCTTGGCCAACATGGCCATATTGAAACCATGAATATCCTTAAGCCCAGCCCTCCTTCCTTTGGTCTTGTCAACTTCTCCCAACTCAACTTGTTCATCTTGTGCTCGATCATTATCTTGTTGACTCCACCAAAATCTACAGATAATTGAGCTTATTTGATCGCACAAACTTTTGGTGAGATCAAAGCACCCCATAGCGAAAGTTGGTATAGCTTGTGCTACAACTTTAATCAAAATCTCCTTTCCCGCTCTAGACAACATTTTCTCCTTCCAACCCTGAATCCTTTGCCAAATTCTGTCCATCAAATACTTGAAAGTTGCAGCCTTGGACTGTCCCACATGAACTGGCAAACCAAGGTATTTTGTTGTTCATTGTTTCCTTCGAAATTTGGAGTATCGCCTTCCACCCTATTCGCTTGGGTTTGTTTGGCTTATAACCCGTACTTTTTCAGTCAACGAACAGTATTTTTCTCTCACACCAATTCAGCCAACAGTACTTTCAGCCATGGTTTATCAGCCAAATAAGCCCAAGTGAACAGGGCTTTCACCTCCCCACGCTGCACCTCCCTCGTATTGCTGCTGAATAAAACCGTCGATTTCTCCTTATTTATAGTTTGTCCATACATCATCTCATATAAATGCAAATATGCTCTGCAGCTACAATGCATTCTCCCGATTTGCTTTAACAAGTATAAGAGAATCATCAGAAAAAAGGAGATGTGATATACTTGGCGCCCTTGGGCAGACCTTCACTCCTGCGATCAGACCTGCCGTTTCTGCATTATTTAGCAAGGCATCAAATCGAAACCTTCCGCACACAGGAGAAACAGATACGGGGAGAGAGGATCTCCTTGATGAAGCCCTCTCTCTGGAACGAAAGAGCTTGACAGATTTCCATTAACTTTCACCCGGTACAAAACAGTTGTCACAAAAAAGCATCATCAACTGAACCCACTCCTCACAGAAGCCCATTCTAAGCATCATCTCTTTCAAAAAGGACCACTCAGACTCTATCATAGACCTTGCTCATGTCCAACTTTATAGCAGCCCACCCCTCCTTCCCTCTCTTCTTCATATAACGAGTGAGTTCATAGGCTATCAAAATATGAGCAGATATCAGAAGCCCTGGCACGAAAGCACTCTAGAGTCTCTGATTCGGTGATACAATTTCTGGCAAAACCCTCTTCAGGCGGTTTGCTAGCACCTTGGACATGATTTTGTACAAAACATTACACAAGCTTATTGGCCTTAGATCAGTGACACGCTAAGGATGTTTGTGTGTTGATCGAAGTTAGCCTTTTTGCAAGGTCTTCCATCAACTTTCTAAAGTTTCAAGTGATGGGCAAGGGCAATGTAGAAATGGATATACGAGTGCTTTTTTTAAAAGAAAAAAAATAGATAAAGGAGTCTAGAAACCTACTATGATACGACTACATATCAATGCGTTGACGGTGTACTCGTCAGTGTTATGGCGAGTAAACTCATTCTTGAACTGCGCGACAAACGCGTGCTCTGGATCCTCGATAAGCACAGAGCTACACACAACCTATCATGACACGGTTTCTAAAATTATATTTTGATCATATGTTTATTTATTTTATATTTTATATTATTTATTATACTTATAAACATATGTAATTGGACAGTAGATTTAACTACAAATCTAATCATAGCAAGTTTGAGCAACAACTTTATAAGCTGTTGTGAGCTATTTTATTTGTCAAACACTCATTTTCAAAATAGCTTTATGGGTGAAACTGTTTTTCTCCTCATCTCACAAAGACATGAGTTGGGATGAAACTGAAAAAAATAGCTTATCCCAGCTCTCTTCCTCATTTCTCTCTCTTCATCCGTGTATAAAGCTGTTGGTGAAGATATTTTGCCAAATAGTTTTTCTAAAACAGCTCAGCCTCACCTATAAAGTTGCCCATGAAACTATTTAAAAAAAACAGCTTTACTGGTGAAACTTAGCTGTGCCAAAAGGAGCCATAATAATTAAAATTTGTTAGTCAAGTTATTGGTCAAATATTTTGAAGTTTGAATCTTAATATGTTGTGCGCCTTATAAAGAGAATGGAAGTAGTAGA